TTTTTAAAATATTTTTTGAGGGGGTTTTTAAGAGAAGTAAATGCGAGGGTTTTGGCAAGAGGCGTGGAGTTAAAAGTAAAGAATAAACACAAAGTGGGAGTTGTCACGCGCTTTTTGCGATGACACTGTGTTTCTTGGGATTCTGAAGAGAAGTTGCAGAGTTTGGGGGGAATTGAATTTGGTAGGGTTGAAAAAGAAAAAAAATTTTAAAGGTAAAATACAGGAAAGAGAAAGGGTTTTATGAGGAAAATACAAAAGTTTTGGGTGGGAAGATTAAATTATCAAAATTGGAGGGAGGAGTATGGGGAGGGGGAAAATATTCAGATTTTTGGGGGATTTGGGGACGTGTAGGGATGGGTCAAATGAAGGATGGGGGGAAAATCATGGGAATTGTGAGGGAAAAAGAGGGGAGTGGTCCCACTTAGGAGTCTGTGGAGACAAAAAAACTTTTTCCTTGGAGGCAAAGAGGGGAATGTAGGGAGGTTTTTTTTTTCCCAACCCTCTTTTAGGGGTTTTGTGAGGCTTGGGTGTTAAATGTTGCAGCGAGGAGAAGGTGGGGGCAGTGGAGATGTCATGTCTGAGGGCAAGTGTGGTTTGAAAAAATATAATGCAAAAAGAATTCGTATTTTGGAAGTTAGGAGGAGGGGTGGGGATTCCCAAAAAATTTTTTTGTCCAGAGGGTTTGGGGGAAAAGGGTTGTTGAGGTGGTTCGGACATGTAGAGAGAATGGAGCGAAACAGAATGACTTAAAGGGGATTTATAGCTTATTGGGGGCGGGGTGGGGGTCGTGGGGGGGTTTGGGAGGGGGGGGGTAAAGGGGGTTTCTTTGTGGAGGGGTTTTTGGAATTTCCCAGCAGGAAATGCGTGAGGTGTTTGAAAAGGAGTGAATGGAGACAAATGTTTTTAATATTTGGACGTGTTTTGGGGAGTGTGAGCAAGTAACATTTATAAAGGGGGATTCGGGGGAAAACGGGGCCCGGGGGACTTGAGTCCTGGAGAGGGGAAAGTCCCGGCCCCCTTTAAAGGAGGGGTGTTTAATGTTGCATTTTAAAAAAATGTAGTGTAAAGCCCCTTTTGGGCCCCAAAGACGTGATGGATGAATGATGGTGAAATTTTTTCCTTTTTCGGGCCCCCCGGGCCTTGGGGGGAATTTGGGGCCCGTGTGATAATAAAAAAAAAAAAATATATATATATTTTTTATTATTTTAAAATTTTATATAAAAATATATATATATTTTTATTTTATAAAATTAATATATATATTATATTTAATATTATTTTATATATATTTTTAAAAACGTAGAATGAAAGGGGGAAAAGCAGCGGGAACTGATGGGGATCATGCAGAAATGTTAAAGCAGGGGGGGTTTAAAGTGTTGGAGGGGTTTGGTACTTTTTTTTAAATTAAATGTATGAAAAGGGGAAAGGTCCTAGGGATTGGCAGAGAGCATGTATAGTCCCTTTATTTAAAGGGGAAAGGGGGGCAAAAAGAGATTTGTAAAAATTTAGAGGAAAAAGTTTATGGGGTTTTTTAACCCGGAAAAAGTATACGGGTTGGGTTATAAAATTTAAAGAATTTTGAGGTAAGACAGAATGTAGAAATTTCGGACGGCAAGGAGGCTTCAGAGTGGGTAGGGGATGTGTAGATCAAGTGTTTACATTGAAGGGATATATGTGAAAGTAAATTTAGATAAAGGGAGGGAAATTTTATTGCTTTTTTGGGTTTTGAAAAGGCCCTTTTGATAGAGGGGGATAGAGGAGCAATGTGGCGGTGTTGCAAGTTTTGGAAAAGGGGGGTAAGTTTTCTTTAAAAGCTGTTTAAAAGGGGTTTTTTGAGGATAGTGGGGGCTCAGGTTTGGGTTTTGTAGAAAAGGGGAGAAAAATTCCCGGTAAAAAATGGTTTTTAGGGCAGGGATGGTAATGTCACCCTAGTTGTTTTTAAAAATATTTATAGATGGGTTGTAAAGAAGTAAAAAACTAAGGGGGTTTTGGGAGAGGGGGGGTTAAATTATGGGGAACCCAAAACCCAAAAAGGGAAAAGACAAGTTTCTTTTGCTGATGATACTGTTTCTTATGGGGATTTAAAGAAAAATTTAAAAAAGGGTTAAATGGATGAGTTTGAGAATGTGGTTTAAAAGGGAGAAAGTTGAAAGTGGGAAAATAGAAAAGGGGTAAAGGTTTATTTAGGGTATCAAATGATTTAGATAAAGAAAAATTGGATATTTAAAATTTGGGGGGGAGGATTTTGGAAGAAATGGGAAAGTTTTCAGTTTGTACTTGGGAGTTGACGTGGCGGCGGAAAGGATTTATGAAAGGGTGAGGTTTCATAGAAATTTTGAGGGGAAAAAAGGTTTAGGGGTGGTTGAGGTTTTATGTGGAGTCAAAAAACGTTTTTCTATGGAGGCAAAGAAGGGAATGTAGAAAGTTTAGTAGTACCAACACTCTTATATGGATGTGAAGCTTTGGGGGGTAAAAAGCAGAGCGAGGGACGGTTGGAGGCAGTGGGATGTCCTGTTAAGGGCCCAAAGTGTGGTTTTAAAAAATTATGCAGAAAATTCGGGGGTGTGGAAATTTTTGGAAGGAAAGGGGTGGAGTTAATAAAAAAATTGTCAGGGGGGGGCGAAGAAAGGGGGTTTTTTGAGGGGGGTTTTGGGCATTTAGAGAGAATGGGGTCAAAGTAGAAGACTTTGGGAAAACTTTAAAATCTTTGGGGAAGGAAAAAGGGGTAGGGGTCGTCTCGAAAAAGGGTTTGGGAAAAAAAGGGGGGGAAGGAGGTTTTGTGGGTGGGGGCTTTGATTTTCCCGCAAGGTTTCATGAGCGGTTTGATTGGAGTGAATTTGGGGGACGAAAGATAATTGGGACCTGACGATCTGTTTTGGGGTGTGAGCAGGGTTAAAATTTAGGAAGGGATTTTAGGGGGAAACCCGGTTTTTTTTCATATAGTCGGGGCTTGAGTCCCGGGAAATGGGAAGTCAATGCCTGCACTTTAAAGGAGGGGGGTTTTGGGGTATTGGGCAGTTTGGAGGATAAGTTGTGTATCTCTTACGTATTTGCTTTTAAAGGGGTTTTTATTCTGAGCACCTCTGCAAAAGCCGTGATAATGTTTTTGAGTGTGGTGAAAATGTTGGGAAAGTTTATGAAAGATTTTCTTTTTGGGGGTTTTCTTTCTTTTTTTTTTGGGTCCCCCCTTGGGCCCCGGGGGGGAGACGGGCCCACTTTTTGAAAAAAAAAAAAAAAAAATTTTATATATTATATATATATATTTATTTATATAATTATATATTTATTTTTTATTAAAATATATATATATTTTTTAATTTTTTTTTTTTATTATCAAACGGCCCATTCCCACCAAAGGGAGGGGGGCCCGAAAAAAAAAAAACCCTTTTCCCCTCTTCACTCCCTCACTGTCTTGCCGAAGGGGGTTTACCCCTACAGTTTTTAAAAATGCAACATTAAAACCCCTCCTTCGAGTGCAGGCATGTACTTCCCATCTCCCGGACTCAAATCCCGGGCCCGCCGGGGTTTCCCCGAATCCCTTTTATTAAAAGTTACTTTGCCCACATCCAACGCAGTCAAATATTAAAAACCCTTTGTCCCATTCACTCCCATCAAACAGCTCACGCATGCCTGCTGGAAGTCCAAACCCCCCGCACACAAAACCCCCTTTACCCCCCCCCTCCAACCCTTTCCCAGGGGCCCACCCCCACCCCGCCTTCCCCTTTCCCCTTTCCCGGGTGATACACTCTTTAAGTCATTTTTGTTTCCTCCATTCTCTTACATGTCCGAAACCCCCTCAACAAAACCCCTTTCCCCAGCCCTTGGAAACAGTTTTGGTTTAAACCCCCCCCCCCTCCCAATTCCCAAAAAAAAGAAATTCTCTGGGATTATATTCACACCAACATTGCCCCCAGACAGACATCTCCCCCCTGCTCCAGCCTTCTCCCCGCTTTCAAAATTCCACCCCCGCTTCACACCCTATAAGGGGGGTTGGTAAAACTATCCTATAATTCCCCTTTTTTGCCCCCAAGGGCAAAGTTCTTTGTCTCCACAACTTAAAATGCACCTCACTCTTTTTCCTCATCAAAATTTTATGATTTTACCTTTATCTTTATAGACCCATCCGCTGGGCACGTCCCCCTCCCCAAATATCTGAATACGTTCACCCCCACCACCCAAAGTGTGATTTTTGAAATAATGAGAGAAATTTTTAGTTTTGGGAAATTAGGGGGGGGGGTGGGGGATTACCCAAAAATGTTTTCCCGAGGGTTTAGGAAAAGGGGGGTTGAGGTGGTTTGGCATTTGGAAAAGAATGGGGCGAAACAGAAATGACTTCAAGAGTTTTATCAGTCTGTGTGAAAAAAAGGGGGGGTAGGGGTCGGCCCAGGAAAGGGTTTGGGGGGAGGGGGGAAAAAGGGGGTTTTGTGTGCGGGGGGGCCTTTTTTTTCCGCAGGCATGCATGAGCATGTTTGATAAAGGGGTGAATGGAGAAAATAGTTTTTTAAAAATTGACGTTTCTGTTGGAGTGTGAGCAAAATAACATTTATGAAGGGGTTTTAGGGGAAAAAAAAGGGGGCCAGGGCTTTAGTCCCGGGGGGAAGTAAAAGTTTCCTGCACTATGAAGGGGGGTGTTAAAGTTTCAGTTTAAAAAAAATGTTTTGTGTAAAGCCCCTTCTGGCAAGACAGTGATGGGGGGAATGTTTGGGAAAAAATTTTTCTTTTTTGGGGGACCCTGCCTTTGGGGGGAAAACGGCCAGGTGATAAAAAAAAAAAAAAAAATGTATATTTTATATATATATATATATATATATTTTATTATATATTTTATATATAATAAAATATTCAATTATTATACAAACTTAAACTAATTTTTTATATATATAAAATTTATATAATATATATTTTTATATATATATTTATATATATATAATATATTTTATATATATTTCTTCTATATATATAAATAAAGGCACTCGTTTTTCAGGGGAAAAAACTCCGTAAAAACACCCAAAAAGTAACGTGAACGTGATAAAAAGGAGGGAGGTCGAGGCAGAAGCCGTGGAAGAGAGTTTATCCAGACTACAGGTTCTCTTTTTGGTGAAGGTAAATCATACAAGAAATTACTGTTTCAACTGTCAAACAAGAATACTTTTGTATGAAAATTTTCATTCATAAATTGTATAATTAAAAAGTTATCACCATTTATATTACTGTAGCCTGTAATTTATAGTCAGTAGACATGGATGAATGGTGCTGTATGTAGACTTCAGTAATATGTCTCATACACATAGGTTAGGTTACCTAATATTATGTAATTGCTTTCTGCTTATTGCACATTATAGTCTCATACTGCACATTGGTAATAAGACCTTTCCAAAGCCTACCTTAAATAATTTTTAAGCACAATTCTAGGAAATAACTTAGTGAGAGATAGACAAGAGAACAAAAAAAAAATTTATACAGAGGTAGCTTTGGGAGCTAATAACTGGAGCAAACCCTGGTGTCACCATGAGGCCCACTTGCCGAAGAACCTGCAGCATCTTCCAGTCATCATCATTATCTAAGGTAGGGATGACCAACCTATGGTGCATGCACCAAAGTGGTGCATTGCATGATTGGAAGTGGTTCATTTGCACTGTAGTAATAATAAAAAAAACCTACTCATACAAAAAGTATTAAGCAATAACTGATTTGAAGAAAAAATTATAAAAGAAATTTAAGTAACTTATAGCTAGAAAAGTTTTACTAAGAATAAATCTAAAACTTAGCAGTCATTTTTAGCAGTTTTATTATTTCATGCACATCATGTAGCGAATGTCATCTTTCATATTAATCTGTTTTCATTTAAAAAATATTCAGTGAGTAAGACTAGGAACAAATTGCAGTGAACACCCACACTGCATTTATAAGTTGCTATATATTCACCACACAGTGTTCTGCCCTTATCAGGAACATTGCACAAAGAGCAACTTTTGTACAGGAATTGTTCCATGAGTGTGCAAATTTGATACTTTTTTGAACTTGAGGTGCAGGGCACGAGCAGTGGCTGCAGTGTGTCACAAGCTTTTACCAGTCAGTTTACAATTGACACTCATTCTGTAGAGTAGTGCCTTGGTCTTTGTGAACAATTTAAGTTATGCACTTTTTGAAATTTAAGCTTTGTTTTTACAGTTAGTTACCCATCACAGTGCAAAAGAAAAGCATAAAGTGAAAGCATCAATTTAATGAGCCTTGGGAAAATGAGTTGTTATTTATTGGTGGGTCCGTCAGGAAAACCGTTGTGTATTGTTTATGAAAGCACTCTCAAATAATAGAAGACATGATCTTAATATGCTATAAAAAATCAGGCTGAAATAGAAGAGAAACTGAAGTTAGTGCTTGGATCTGAGTTACAGAAAGGGTATGTGATTTAATAAAAGGATGAATAAAAAGAAGACAAAATATATTTGTTAAAAGAAGTTGTAAAAGTTTGGCAGTAATGGAAGCATCCTGTAAAACTGCCTTTGCATTGGCTAAAAAATGGAACCCTTTCTCTGAGAGAGAAGGAACTAAACCTTATCTCCAATATTTGCGAGTTGTCTTGGTGATAGGTTAGGTAAAGTTCATCAGGAAATAGGACAAGCATTTCCTGATGCGGGTCTTAGTCAGACGATGACCCGCTGTTGGAGCTTTTGGTCATCTGACTGAGGCCTTCCACTGGCTTACCAGTCCACCCCTTTAAAAATTGTGGTCATACTTATAACCTTTTTTTTTTTTTTTTCCTTGGTGATAAAAATATTGAAAGAAAAGTAGACAAAATTGCTCTGTCAAAGCAAACAGTTAAAAGACACACCAAAGAACTTTCCCATGGTGTATCTGAACAACGTAAAGACCTTTCCCATGCTTGTACTTTCTTTTCTTTACCCTTGGATGATTCTGCTGACATATGTGATGTAGCCCAGTTAATCATTTTTATAAGATGAAAATTTTAACATCTTTGAAGAACTTATTAGTCTTGAGCCACTTCATTGAAAAACAAGAGGACCAGATATATTTGACAGAGTAAAGTCATGCCTAGTAAACTCATCAACGTTTGTACTAATGGAGCATTGGCAATGATGGGTAAAGCAGCTGAGACTGCAACTTTACTTGAAATCTTTTTATGTTGTCATCTTCTAAAATACCACTGCATTATAAACCAAGAGTCACTGTGTGGAAAAAACTAAATTTGTAGCATGTTGTGAAATGTGTGAATAAACCATCATTCAACACTTTCACTATTTCTTTTTCTTCTTTCAACACACCGGCCGTATCCCACCAAGGTGGGGTGGCCCAAAAGGAAAAATGAAAGTTTCTCCTTTTACATTTAGTAATATATACAGGAGAAGAGGTTACCAGCCCCTTGCTCCCAGCATTTTAGTCGCCTCTCTCAACACGCATGGCTTACGGAGGAAGAATTCTGTTCCACTTCCCCATGGAGGTAAGAGGAAATAAACACAAACAAGAACTAGTAAGAAAATAGAAGAAAACCCAGAGGGGTGTGTATATATATATGCTTGTACATGTATGTGTAGTGTGACCTAAGTGTAAGTAGAAGTAGCAAGACATACCTGAAACCTTGCATGTTTATGAGACAGAAAAATGGACACCAGCAATCCTACCATCATGTAAAACAATTACAGGCTTTCGTTTACACTCACTTGGCAGGACAGTAGTACCTCCCTGGGCGGTTGCTGTCTACCAACCTACTACCTAGGATATATATACAGTGGACCCCCGGTTTGTGATATTAATCCATTCCTGAGAGCTCATCGTAAACCAAAATTATCGAAAAGCGAATCAATTTTCCCCATAAGAAATAATGGAAATCAAATTAATCCATGCAAGACACCCAAAAGTATGAAAAAAAAATTTTACCACATGAAATATTAAGTTTAATGCACACAAACTGAAGAAGACATGCCCAGTTTGTAGTACTCTACTAACAATAGAATACATGACACTTACCTTTAATGAAGATCTGGTGATGATTGATGGAATGGGAGGAGGGGAGAGTGTCAAAGTTGTTAATGTTTAGAAGGGGAATCCCCTTCCATTAGGACTTGAGGTAGCAAGTCCTTTTCCAGAGTTTTGGCAGGAAAACAGTGAAGTCCCAGTGTAGTAATATTACGAGTTCTAGGGGAACTAGTAATAATAAGAACGAGGTAGATATTGAAAAGCCAGGGACCTTGGGTGATAAGGACAGTAATAGGTTTAGTAGAAAAATAGAAATGAGCAGGAAGGGTAAAGAGAAAGGAGAGTCTTTCAATGTTTATTATGCTAATTGCCGTAGTGCTAGGAATAAGATGGACGAGTTGAGATTAGTTGCTAGTGCAGGTAAACATTGATGTATTTGCCTTAATTGAGACGTGGTTTAATTCAAAAAGTCGGGACATGCCTGCGGAATGTCATATTCAGGGTTTTAAATTGTTCCAAGAAGATAGAAGTATTGGGAAGGGGGTGGGGTGGCATTGTATGTCCGAGATCGCTTGAACTGTTGCATAAAAACAGGTATTAAGTCTGAAGTAACACATACAGAGTCTGTTTGGATAGAATTTTCAGAGGGGCATGAAAAACTGATTTTAGGAGTGATATACCGTCCCCCAAACTTAGATAGGGACCAAGGGAAACTACTATGGGAGGAAATTGTTAAGGCCACAAGGCACGATAATGTAGTAATTCTAGGAGACTTTAACTTTAGTCATGTTGATTGGAATTTCTTGACTGGGAATTTAGAATCATACGACTTCTTAGAAGTATTTCAGGATTGTTTTTTGAAGCAGTTTGTGACAGAACCTACAATAATAATTTAGAAATTTCAGAGGAACTGGGTGCTAGCGACCACAAATCAATTACATTTAGCATTGAATGGAAGTACGATAGTAGCGATAACTCAGTAACAGTCCCAGATTTTCGCTTAGCAGATTACGATGGGCTTAGAGAACACTTATCATCTGTTGACTGGGGTAACGAAGAGAGCTATCAATATGACAGTTTTCTGAACACTATACATGCTGCTCAAAGAGCATTTATCCCATATAAAGAAATTAGATCAAATAGAAATGACCCAAAAAGGATGAATAATAGGCTCAAATATCTACTAGGGCATAAGAAAGGAATTTATAGGCATATCAAAAGAAGTGAGGGTCATCTTATGAATCAGTATATTGACATTAAGAGGGACATTAAAAGGGGATAAGAAAAGCTAAAAGGGACTATGAAATTAAAGTTGCTAGGGATTCTAAAACTAACCCAAAAAGTTTTTTCCAGGTCTATAGAACAAAAGTTAGAGATAAGATAGGTCCCCTTAAAAAATAACTATGGGCACCTTACTGACAAAGAGAATGAAATGTGCTTGATTTTAAATAATTATTTTCTCTCAGTTTTTACACAGGAAACACTAACAATATTCCAGTAATTAATTTTTACAGTGGCTAGAAGAAGATAAATTATGTAACATCACAGTCACTAGTGAGATGGTTGTGAAGCAGATAGACAGACTGAAGCAAAATAAGTCGCCGGGCCCTGATGAGGTTTTTTCAAGGGTTCTTAAGGAATGCAAAATGGAACTCTGTGAACCATTAACTAATATTTTTAATTTATCTCTTCAAACAGGTGTAGTGTCTGATATGTGGAAGATGGCTAATGTAATTCCTATTTTTAAAACAGGGAACAAGTCGTTACCGTCAAATTACCGCCCAATAAGCCTGACCTCATTGTAGGCAAATTACTAGAGTCAATTATAGCTGAGATTATAAGAAGCCATCTCGATAAGCATAGCTTGATTAATGATCTCAGCATGGATTCACAAGAGGCCGGTCTTGTCTAACTAATTTATTAACTTTCTTCAGTAAAGCTTTGAGGCTGTTGACCACAATAAAGAATTTGATATTATTTACTTAGATTTTAGTAAGGCTTTGATAGAGTTCCGCACCATAGACTGTTAAAGAAAGTGGCAGCTCTATGGCATTGGGGGAAAAGTGCTCTCGTGGATCGAGTCATGGCTCACTGACAGGAACCAGAGAGTGTCCATAAATGGGGTTAAGTCCGAGTGGGGATCTGTAACAAGTGGCGTTCCACAGGGA